GTAGGTACATTACATAACGTTTTTAACTAAATGTTTCATAAAAGCCATCTGTCCATACAGTCGTGCTAGATCCATACAGGATAGATAGCTTTAAGGGCAAGGTGAGTGAAATATTATTTAAAATGTGTCGGATATTTACTTCATCGAGCTTTATTAACATGCTTATTTATATTGCATGTAGGACATGTTGTGACCCGACTATCATATAAACGGACACAAAATCTAAAAGCTCAAAATAAATTAAAAAAATACTCATGTGTCAAGAATTAAGATCTTTAATAAGTACCTTAATTGGATTTCTGCACTGACTGCATGCTGCAAGGATTAAAATCTTACAATCTTTATCAAAACAACTCGTGTAACAAATTAGTTAATTCACTAATTTTAGATAATGTCAAAAGATAATTCGACAAGAAAAATTTAACTCATGTCAACGTATTGTAAATATTTTCTTTCATGTTCTTGTACGATGCTTACTTGCAATAATTTAATCTACTTTTAAATTGTTATTCTTTGAAATTAAAAAAAAAATCAAATATCTACTAAATAAAATATTCCCAAATATTACATAATTAATAATTATCTATAATATTTGGGAATATTTTATATATAATTATCTACCTAGCTATTTATCGACGTGGTTAATATTATATACTATGAACAGAATATGTATAAGGAGAAATTAAATAAACCAAAAAATGACAAGGTCTTTGAAATGGTCATGTGAGCTTTTATTTATAATATAATTTAAAATTTAAAACAGTTTAATTTGTACAGCCGACTTCAATATAAGTTATTTAAGAATAACTCAAAAACTATTGGTCTGACCTTGATCAAATTCGTATGGTACCACACGAGAACTTAGTTCTCGTGTGGTACCATACGAATTTGATTCAGTCATTTTTTTTTTAGTCTTTCATTCAGTCTCCTTTTTGGAAGTCGGCAGAAAATAGCTGATAATGAAACCTTAATAAAAATTGATTGCATTAATGTAGTGATCTTGAAAATCACAAACCGTAGAAATGATGTACCTACGTGATTAGTCTTGAGTTTTGTATTTGAAGAATACAAGTGTATGTGTAGCCAAAAAGGCAAAATTTCTTTTTTTGTTGCAAAATATAAGTTAAATTTCCTTATTTGGCCAACATACATATATATATATATATATATATATATATATATATATATATATATATAGGTACCTACTCGACGCAGTAAGTAATTTTTGTTTATTTGCCTACTTACAGTAAAATCGAATTCTCTCATCGTTATATATTATAACTTCTTCATATCATGTAGGTAAAAGAAGATAAAAGCGAAGGAAACTAGAATATAAAAGAGAAGGAAACTTTAACTTTACTTCAACTGTATTTGTATACTGGATTTGTTATATTTATTAACATCTACTCACATAAAATAAACGCTTTTTTTTATTTCAATTTCAATTTTTCACCTACTTCAAAAAAAAGTTATTATTAGTGAGGTTGAAGTCGTTTTATGTGAAAAGATTCATCTCACCTTAAAAATGAATTATTGTTAGGTACTTTGTTTTTGGGAAAAATTAGACCATGATACATCCCGGATTCTGTATCGGTGCATTTTAGCGATACAAGCGAGGTAAATTGATAAAATATTTCATCAAAGGATACGACGGCACTATCCTAAAATGTTCTGCGGAAAAATTGAGTAAGTAGACATGTGGTAAAAAATACTTAATTAAATTTATTAACTCATGCCACGAGTTCCGTAGGTAAGATAAATTTAACGCAATTTCGAAACAGAAACAAAAGTAAAGAATAGCTGAATACTTCTGTGTATCATAAATTAATATTTACAGAAGAGATTTACGTTATTAAACTGTCTGATATAGCTTATAAATCATTTTAGAATCAGGTAATCACAGAAAATAATCCTCATCTAAATGTTATATTTAATTGTTCTCGGCGGTGAAGGAAAACATCGTGAGGAAACCTGCGTATCAGAGAGATAACAAAAAAATATTTCGAATATTTTTTTGTTATTTCGCCAACACGCAGTGGTGCAGCGAGGCGGACATTTCCTTACCCTAAAACCCTCTCAGAAATGAGAGGAGGCCTGTGCCCAACAGTGGAACGTATATATCTAGGCTGTAACATTTACAACACTAATTAACAAGAAAATAATAAAAAACCTTAAATTTAACATTGATAGATTTATAACTGTGTATTTTAAATATATATGATATAATTTAGTATAAATATTATAATAATTTCTTCTTTTTTAAATATCGAATAATCATTGCCCTAAAAAGACTCTACCCAAGAAATATCCGGGCGTTTCTGTTATTTCAATTAAAACTAGCTCCTTGACCAGTCTCCAGAAGCTCACCTATATTACCTACTTGCTCTATAAATTACCGTCTTACCGGACAGTATTTCTGTTATAATTCACAATCGTACCTTTTTAATATTCCGATCCGCCGGGGGCACATTAATCAAAAGCACTGTGGAACTGGTTTCATATAAAAGCGGGCAGGTTTGATACAAAGTTAAATAAAATAATAAATAAGCATGACCATTCCGTGAGATTTATTTCGGAGAAAAAGCGAGGTAAGTTAAGAGGCAGGACTTGTCGTTGTATGTTTATAGTCGGCCCGAAGTCGGCGCACAATGTACGGCCCTAATTAATGCTATGCCGTTCTTCTTCAAGATATATTATACCCGAAGCAGCGTCCATTTAAAATTATTTTTACTTTTTCTTCTAAAATGACATTAAAAATAAATTTGCTTGACGGTTTGCTGCATCGTTCGTCATGCGCGTAGGTAAGGTACGAGTACAGCAAAGGATTGGATTAAGTTGCGAGCATCTGTCTTTCCATCCGATTATAATGTGGACGACTTCAAGTCAAGAATATTAAAAAAAATATTGCCAATACATTTTTAAGTGACTTATGTCAATTTTAATAAAATTTAACCACAGAAACAATACACCCGTTAAACATATCAAAAGCTATTGAAAAACGTAAATAAAGTTGGTGTGTAGAAAAACTTCAACAAAAAAAAACACTCTTTACAGGTACAAAGTATCAGTCAGTGACAAACCGCCCCGTCTCTACAATACAACAAAGAATAATGGAACCCAGCTGACGGGAGGTGGCTTAACGTCCGTTGTCATGGCGACAGTGCGAAGGGTGGCCAACCTGCTCCGCTAACATACTACTGCCATTGACAAAAACAACTGATCTCAACCCCCATCACATACAGATTTAGTCTCTATTATGTATACCGGAAGGATCTCTTTCAAGCATCACTAACCACTATTTACGACCTTTCTCTTTGATTGCATTATTGGGACTCGTGTATTGTGTTTTGGGTTCCATCTTTGCTTTTTAAAATTAGAATGACTTCCTCTATCTCATTTGTGCGCATCACTGCTAATGTCTGTACTCTTCTAACCACACGCGTATAATTATACCATTTTCTATTTATGACATTTTAAACAGTTTTAAAGTTTTTGTTGAAATAAGCACGAATCGTAAATGTTATTTGCGCCCGTAAAAATGCAGTTACTGAAATTTATAGTCAATATAAATTCTGATATATAACTGTCGTATGAACTAATTGATTTGTTTTGGACATGATAATTTAAAATTTAACTTAATCAACAATGCAAATTATCTAAATATATTCAAAGTTGTAAAAACTTTATAATCTTATTTATATTGTATTACACTTAAAAATAACGCCATTTTTGTACTAATCCTTACTATGTATATTAAATCTAGATAGGGAATCAATTTATTACGCCAATTAGCTTTGTTTGTTACAAGAATTATGTTTTATAGTGGAAAGAAATTTATCTGCGGACACATACATATGCTTTTTTAAATTCGGATTATAAAGATCATTTTCTATATTGCTCTCATTTTAAGTTTATATTTTATATTTTTACAATACATGGAAAATAGATTAATAATTTTAAATAATAATACGAAATTTCCTGAAATCTTATTTGTAATTTTTTTACTTAATATTTCATTATGCACATCCATATTAATGCTGTCTATTTAAATGTAAGGTTCAGGTAACTTAGGTCGATCCTACACGAATGGACATTCCCGCGCTCGCTTCTTGGGCTGCTATCAATTTTATACACGTCGGGAAGCCTATTTATCTTACGTTATTTATTGTCTGGCTTGAAAACCAGTCCAGGATCCAGTGTCTGTATCACTCGGAATTTACCTGCCTATATAGACTGCGCCGTGTTAAAATACATGTTAACACACATGTGAGAAACAAGACGACATTCTAATGCATTAATAGGATGCTGTATTGATTTGAAACAAAAATACCTTGAAGATTATTGTCAAGGCCTAATTTTAACATTTTTTAAAGTAAAGGGTTAAAAACTTTCACAAATTCCCCGAAATCTTCTTTCTTTACAAAGATAATAGAGATACCTTACAAAGCATTAGAAAGTTGCGCAACCCTTCTTTACTCAACCCTGATTTTTTTATAGAGATTTCTTTTTAGAAAGCACTCTATTGTTACTATGCGGACCATTAACGGGCCTTAACCCTTTCCGTTACTTTTTACTCTGTGCGAACGCTTATTTATTTTTACATTCGCACGCACAAAGGTTTCAAAGGTTCATTCTTACTAATGTATTTAATCGTAAACGCCGTTTTCCTTATTGCATTCTTTTACATTCCAATATTTGATCCACTTACAGATTACTGTCAGTAGCGGATGGATTTAAAATTAACTTTAGTGCGGTAATAAAATATTAATGGTCCATTAAAATCTTAGATGATATAAAGTGAAATTTAATAGCCTGTATGGAGGCTCGCGCTGCGAATCCAAACAAACGCGTTCATTGATATATGGAACGTAAAATAGAAATTAAATCCACTTTAATTACTAACAATCATTTGTGTGATCGTTTTTATGTTACTGTTGTTTTTTACTAGTATTTATTTTAAAATGAACACCTATAAATTTATGTTTTTTTTTTGGTTTCAGGTCCAAATGGATGTCCACGACGGCGAGGGCGACAAACCTACACAAGGTTCCAAACCTTAGAACTAGAAAAGGAATTCCATTTTAACCACTACTTGACGCGTCGACGCAGGATAGAAATCGCACACGCTCTATGTCTCACGGAGCGACAGATAAAAATATGGTTTCAGAATCGCCGAATGAAACTAAAGAAAGAACTGCGCGCTGTAAAAGAAATAAACGAGCAAGCGCGTAGAGAAAGAGAGGAGCAAGACAGAATGAAACAGCAGCAACAGGAGAAGCAGGCGAAACTAGAGAGTCAGCACCACGGTCATCATGTGACCCACCATCATGATCCGATGAAGATGCCCATTGATAAGGGCTCCAACGACCTCCTCAAAGTGAATAAGGTGCCGACGTAAGCCGTCTCTCTCAAACACTAGGAAATCTTGACTGATACTGTATCATATAGTGTGATTAAAGAAGTGTTGCGTCCACAGGGACCTGCGGGCAACGTTAGTCATTTCGTATCCACTAGTTTTATGTTTTGCGGCTGATTTAATGAGAGTGTCGCCTCGTTGTGGAGGCCTTTTGGACTTCTTATCAATGTTCCTTTAGTGCGGAAGACTCGCCTCAGTGTTCGCTAGTGGACGGGCTGGTGATGTGCTTTAAGCATTTATTTTGTTGCCATAACCACACCATGTATTGCAATAATGTTTTATCTAAAATATACAAATGCGTAAGTGTCGTCCTAAGATTTACATTTGAATTCCGAGTGAATTTCGGTATTGTTAGTTAAGATTTTAAATCTGTGAATCTCATAGTATTTATTGCTACCACTTATTCTAATTCATTACGTTATATTTTTTTTATTATTAGATATTATTATATTATGTACATTTTGATGTATATTTTATTTGTCTGCTTTTGGCGGGCTAGTTATGTTGTGAGGGTCACATTTTTTTTAATAATTGTAAAGTTTGTTGTATTATTGCCAGTTAATTTCAAAAGAGTTGATTTATTTTTGTGATCAGTGATTACCTTCCGTCGTTATGTTCATAAATTGTTGATTCGGTTTGATCATTTTAATTTAATTATAATAAATCATATTATCTATCAACAAATATATAAATATAAGATACATAATTATTCCATAAGAGCGTTTAACGTGTATTTGTAACAAAATACGTATCCGAAGTACAATCGCTGATAAGTCTTCGTTATAACGAATCTTAATTTTGTACTTTCTGTCTTCAGAATGAAAAGTAAATATTAAAATTGTGCGATATTTTTTATAGCAGTTCTAGAGTAAAATTCCGTGTCCAGATAACACAAAATATTAATCGAACAATATTACAAAAAAGGATTGAAGCCGCATACGATGTAATTTGAACAAATATGCATGGTGCGTTGTCCAAAAGAATCCGAAGTCATCCGATGTTCAAAAATTATATACGTAAAAATGATACATATACTAAACAATAATGTGACTAAATATAAAATTTTACATGTAATTTTAAACGTTGAGTAGCATATTAAGTGTAATATACATAGGTAATATAGGTTCGACTTTGTATGGAGTATTTCCTAAGACCTTAGTTACACATCGTATACCTTTGATAGAATTAACTTTGCCATTTGCTTATTGTACCCATTTTCTTAGTCATTTCAACGCTTTAATTGAATACATTTTTCGAACAAATTAGAAACTGAACAAATGCTTATAATATCTATAGAACATTCATTAAAATTAAGTGTCACATGCTTGCGTTCGATGAGGACTGCATAATTCGTTAAATATTTGCGTTACATTTGGCGCTACTTTCAAGTTTTTAATAAATTCAATTTTATTTGTAGATACTTGTAACGTCCACACGCCCGAAATATCAATCCGCTATTAATTCCGTGTTGTGCCAAAATAATTTAAATCATAATTTAACATTGTATAAATTATATTATTAAAATCAAAAAATGCTGATATTTCGCCTACCGCATCAAAAATCTTCCGCATCAATTATTTGAGGAAGGTATTCTTTTGTACAAGTAATATCTAAACAAAAATATTAGGATTCTAATAATTAGTGTTGATAGTCACCCATTATACGTAAATTAATGTCAGGGTAGAATAAATGGAGAAGTTAATTAAAATTCGTGTATAAATTTGAAATATGCAATTAATTTTGATAAATCATTTCAATAGGTATCTGTCCACAGTCTTATTTGCATTATATAAAATCTAGCCTCTGAACGTTTATAGAAAGTTAATGTCGCGATATCATTAACATAAAACGAATGCGTAGATTTAAGAATAACAAAATTCTTATTAATATTATAATCCAAGTATTGCATTCTTCGTATCAGCAAAAATTATGTGAAGTACCCAGTTATAATTGAAAATATCGCATATTAACACCGTATATAAACACCGTGTTATAAATATTAGTTAGACTCCTACAGGTGTTAACTCATCACTAGATTTAAACTTTATATTTATTATTATATATCTATATTAAGTTTCATATATTCTTCGATCTATCTCTAAAATCTTCAATATCTAAAAAAAAAACATTTATTTTTGAATTACTTTTCTAATAGTTTTAACTAACAAAGGAAACCAGAAAGTAAAATTTATATGTATTTTAATTTATGATTTCACGGTATCATGTGACTTTACATTGAATGTATCGGCTACCGTCTGGTATGTGCAATAATAAATTAGATATCTTCATGAAGAAACTCTACATAATGGTCGTGTTAGAATGCTTACGGAATAAGGTTGTCGTTAGTAATAAATTATTAATCCCATCTTAATTTTTAACTACGAATCGAGAAATAAAAATCGAACAAAATGTACTTAAGTAATCGGTGTAAGTAGACTTTATAAATTATTATACATAGGTAATAAATAATGTAGAGAAAATTGAGCGTGTTGAAACCCGACAAAGTATTTGTTTATAAACGCTTAATTAACTTAGTATTGTTCGTAATTATTGTTAGCGGGAATCAGTTGGATTGAAGACGTTCAAACATACAGGACATACACACTATATTGCATTGAGGTGTAATGTTGGAAACTATGTGTGTATACGAAAAATTAGTTGTTACTCTATAAATTGATTTGAATTTCTCCGTTTTCATTGTTTTTAATGAGTTATCGTTTTCTTTTCATAAGGGGACTGTGCAAAATCCGGTATGGTTTTCATCGTTATAAATATATTTTGAACATTAAATTTCAGTTTTAACAGTGGACAATTGTTAAACTATTAGTCGTGCCGTGCATGCGCATCCAGTGATTTATGTCAAGTTTCCACTATTGTTTTCTCGTACACAGCGAACCACAGATAATTCTCGTGGAACAATAAGCAATTTGCTTCATATATTATATACACCCTCCATTTGCAATGCTGTCTTGCCATAATGCTAGTATTTTGTAGGGTAAAAGGTATTAATAAATACCTAAATATCCTTCCATATTTATTGAAATAAAACTAATTTCCTCATATACTGTGACGATATTTGTTTTTGTGTTAATTTCCATAAAAATATCATATCATTTTTGTTTACACTCTCTTTTTATATTTTACTTTTAATATGTTAACAAGACTTCTGTTAGGTTAATTCTAAATAATCGATCAATTTTTATCTTAATATAAATGTAGCTATGTATGTATGTACGTATATCTATATTTTTGAAAATAGAAATTAAAATGTCTTAAAGTAAGTAATTGTAAATAGTCGTGAAAAATTTATGTGGCGCATTATTATTTTGTTCATATTTTTTTGTTTTACGTTATGTATTTATGTAATGAGACTTGCCGTGCTAAGGTACGTGATATGTCATGGGTACCTTTTCAAAATAATGTTATGGCTTTGGTTTTACAAAGTAAATTAAATCGTAATTAATTAATAATAAAAATAGTTTTTGCTTAACACATTTTCTAAATCTTCCTCACATGTATATTTCCATCAGTTTAAATAAGGATTCCCATTGACACGATAACGTTACCAAACGCACGGCGCATATGACTGTGTCGTGGTTAACATAAGCAAAATAGTTGGGTGATTGTATATGAAACCCGCATTACATATTGTAATATTAATTTCGACAATTCAGGAGAATAAAGAGTTAATAATATTAAGGCTATTTTAATGTATTACTTAAATCCCATAAACCATCATTTTAATAAACCCTAAAGTAATTATATACTATTCCACCAACGACCTGCTTCGTGGTTTATGATGTGCACAGCAAAGTAGTGGAATAATTTACCTGCGTCTGTTTTTCCGACCGATTACAATCTGAGTGCCTTCAAGGCTTCTGTTACTATATGGCAATGCGATACACTATTTGGCTATCTGGGGCTTCATCACAACTTCCCGTTGGGTAGTAAACAGATACTGGTACATAACTACTACTTCCGATAACTAATCTAAATTATTATATATGCATAAAGCTACTCGAAACCGCAGGTGTGGTAACAGCCTATAAATGTCCCAGAGCTGAGCACATACTTCTTATTTTCGAACGTGAACTAAATCGAAGAGAACCGTGCTGATCCAGTGAGTATTGATACACTGCACACATCCTAGAAACTGTGTGTGTAAGTATGCGCTTACTTTCCGTGGCTGGTTGGCGCCGTTTGTACCTTTATTAGGAAAAAGTTTTAATAAATAAGTATCCAAAGTTAGAATTAGTCATACCAATATTTGTTACGTTGCACATAAGATCTACCTGGGATCCCAACCTGAGATCATCGATTTAAGTGAAGTGTTCGAATAGTTATTAAAACCACAAGTTCTCCAATTACGGAACCTATATGAGACCCGCATTCAATATTGTAGGTAATATTAATTTCGACATTTCAGGAGAATAAAGTGTTAATAATACTAAGGCTATTTTAACGTTAACCCAAAAACTAAGCATCTTAGTTATTTGTACGTAATTTTTTTGAATAATCAAATTTAAGCGAGACTACATTATAAGGCCCAATTATTTAAGTTAACGTGGCGTAAAATTTTTCACCTCGTAGTTTTAAAATGTAATTTAGCGGATTTACAAAGTTAATTATCAGACAGTAAACATAGTCTTTCACACTACGAGAGTTGGGTTGTAAAGTTCATCACACTGTTTTTTATTCATTCTATTTCCATGAACAAAATAATTAGTTTATAAGTAGGTATATTTAGCAATATTTGTTATTCCGCTGAGGAATTGAACCTGTTTATTTTGGGGAAAAAATGGCAATCTCTATAATTGAGTTAGTTGAAATTGCTACTGATAAGGACCAAAGTTTACAACGAAACACTAGTAATTATTTTGTTATAGTTTACTCTTTTTATTGTCTATGGAATTTGGGGATTAAAAATTTTAAGAATAAAGCCATAGCTCTAATAAATGCCCGGCTACGCGCTCAATCTTACT